GGGCGGCGGCAGTTGAAGGCGGGCGGCGGTGGGGGTGGTGGCGGTGCGGGCGGCGGCGGGTGGGGCGGCGGTGCGGGCGGCGGCGGGTGGGGCGGGGCGGTGCGGGAGTGCCGTGGGACTTGGGTGGCGCGGGTCGGAAGGGCGTGCGGGGAGGGGGAGGGGGGCGGAGGCTCGGGGGGGGAGGGGGGGGGGGGAGGAACAGCCGGGGGGAAGAGGCGGCGGCGGCAGAGCCAGGCTGTCGGAGCGTGAGGCGCAGCGGGGGGCGGTGTTGGGGCGCAGGCGCGGCGTGCGGTGGCGCGGCGGGCAGGGCGGAGCGGTGCGGCACGTTGTGGCGGGCGAGGCGCCGGGGGGGCCTTGGGGGCGCGCGGCCGAGACGAGAGGGACTGGAGAGGCCGACGTCGCGGGCGGCGCAACAGCCGCTCGAGGTGTGCAGGGAGGGGAAGAGGAGGGGGGGGGCGACGGCGCACCGTTCTCGTCGACGCCGTCGTGGACGCACCCGCCGATCGCGTCCCCGCGCTCGGTCGCCTTGATCGGGCCTCCGAGCCCCACGCACATCGCGCAGACGATGGACGACTTGCCGGTGCCGTTCGGGCCGATGATGCAGTTGAGCTTTCCCGGGTCGGCCGTCAGCTCCGCCGACCTGGGGGCGGCGGCGCGACGCGGTCGGCGTCCGCCCGGGCGGCGCGGCGCGGTCGGTCCCCAGCGAAGAGGGTGTGAGGCGGGCGCGGCAGGCGCGGCGGGCGCACGTGTACGACATGAAGTTGCGGAGCTTGATGCGGACGATGGTGCCTTTGGTGTGGGTCCGGCGCCGCTGGGACGGCGGCTCGTCCTCCGTATCCGCGTCGCGCACTCGAGGCATGATCAGAAGCGGCGGCGGCTGGGCGCCCGCGGCTGGCCGGAGCGGTCGCTCGGAGCAGGAATTCGCGCTCGGCTGCGGAAATAAAGAATTTTGCCGCCGCTCGCACAAATAGAGGGCTCCCGCGGCGATCAACACCGCAACTCCTTTTCTAAATTTCACCACGCTTCTTACGCTCGCGCCGTTGGGAAACGCAAGGCGCACCTTTTTGTTTTGAAGACCTCGATACTTAGCGCACTGCTCGGGCGAGAGCTCAAACACGTGCCGCGTCTCGTCTTCGCCGCCGGCTACGCGCACAGACACAGTGCGCGGCAGCGCCGACACGTCAACCCGCGTGTACGTCAGCGACGGGTCCCGCACGCCGCACGAGGCGCATGCGTGCAGCGGCAGCGCGTGCGCCACTCTGCAGACTGTCGAGTTCTTTCCTTTGGAGCGGGGAGGCCGACTCTCGCTCCTGCTGTGAGGACCTCTCGGTGAGGACCTCTCGCGTGCGCTGAGGACTTCTGTCTGACTCGTGAGGACCTCTCGTGAGGACCTCTTCTCCTCTCTTGCTTCACTTGGCATCGCCCGCACGTCGCGGCTCGATTGGCGTGTCCCGGCAGCCTCAGCTCACGCCGTGGTAGATTAATTGGGGTGTGCCGGTCCGCCCCGCACACACGCACACACCAAAGTAAAAGATGTGGGAGGTAGATAGACTCAGCAGCTGAGATGGTGTAGGGTTAAGAAAGAAGAGTCAAAAGTTTGAAAGGCCTCTTTGGGGTGTGTGGTGCATCTCAGGGGAACATTAGACATTTCTCATACCACTGGTATGCATTCAACGTGAAAAGAATTGTAGGCTCGTCTCCCGCCAAACCAAAAGTTTCAAGTCGTCGCCGCGAAGGGGGCTGTCCCAGGAGCTGCAACTAGATAGAGACGGCCGCGCGGCGGCCCGCGGATACAGCATACACCGAAGTCCGCTCTTCCTACTCGACTACCGGGGTGCCGTAGTTGGGTCTCGGGGCGAATCGGCTCCCAACCAAGCTCTCTCATTTCCACGAAAAAACACCGGAAGGGAAACACGCTCTCGTGTTAAATCTCTAGGCAACCGTTTTGGGTTTTCGTGTTAGTGTCCAGTGCGCGCCAGAAAGAAAGAAAGAAAACACACTTACATGAAGTGCTCCATCCTCTTAGTGCGCGGTCCAAGCAGAGGGATGCGCCGCCACCACACAGGACACAGGGAGGGATTTGTGCGCGCCAGTCCCTTGTGTTTCGCCTTCGATACATATATACGTACTACACATGATGCGTGTGCTGCGCGACCACGCCGTGTACTCGCTGCACACGCCCGGCAGCCAACGCGCCGCACAGCGTGCGCTCCACCCGCCGCGCGGTGACGGCCCCTATGCCATCGACACCATGGGCCTCCCTTTCACAGCGTATCGTCCCCCTCGCGAACGGGTCTAAGCTTTGCGGCGGCAACCTCCGGTGGCAGGCTCGGCGACCGAGAGGCCTTTGGCTGCCTCCTCGATAGCAGGCGGTTCACGCTGCGGCCGGCCTGATAGAGCGCAACGGCTGCGAGGGTGGTGAGGCAGAGCCAGCCGAGAAGACCGAGGAACGACATAGCAGCGGGCTGCTCCATCGCCGCTGCCGCGACTAGGCTGGCTCTTCCCGGCAAGCCATGCGAGCCGTGCGAGGGCCTGTGCTTGCCCGGCGTCTTGTTCGCTCGTGACGCGAGTTGGCGAGTGCGTCGCTGCTGTGTCGATCTGCCGACGCCGTGCACTGTGCTGGCGATATGGCCCATCCAGGTGCCGCGCGCGTCACGTGTTTGTTGACGTCGTGCGCACCCGCCTGATCCGTGTGCTGTGCGCCACTGACCGCCTTGTCGACCTCCTCCGTCGAGCTGAAGGTGACGAAGCCGACGCCCTTAAACTCCTGCGTCTCGCGGTCGTTGAGCCACCGCACGCCGGTCACGGTGCCCGCCGCATTGAAGAAGTTCGTGGCCGTGCGGCCCTTCGCGTCGCGCGCCTCGAGGTCGGGGCCGGCGGCGAGGATGGCCAGGCCCGCGGTGGTGGAGCGGCTCTCGCACGCGGCCATGAGGGGCGTGGTGCCGCCCTCTGGCGCCAGGTTGAGGTCGGCGCCGGCAGCGATCAGGACCTCGATCGCCGCAGCCTGGCCGTGACAAGCGGCCGTGACGAGGGGAGTGGTGCCGCTGCCGCTCGCCTGGTTGACGTCCGCGCCCGCCGCGCAAAGCAGCTCCAACACATCGGCGTGGCCGCTCTGCGCGGCTTAGTTTGAAGAGCGGCGGGGGACACCCTGTTGTGCTCCCACGCCAGGTTGACGTCAATGCCCGGGGTCGCGCACAGCGCCGCCACCACGTCGGCGTGGCCCAGCTCCGCGGCGATGTAGAGGGGGGCGATGCCGTGGCTGTACGCCAGGTTGACGTCGATGCCCGGCGCCGCGCACAGCGCCGCCGCCACATCGGCGTGGCCGTTCTGCACGGCCATATACAGGGGGGTGGTGCCGTCGCTCATTGCCCGGTTGACGTCGACACCTCGCGCATCGCACAGCGCCGCTGCCACGGCAGCGTGGCCCACTTCTGCGGCGATCAGCAAGGGGGTCCAGCCGTCGCCGCCCGCTTCGTTGACGTCGATGCCCGGCGTCGCGAGCATGCGTTTCAGCACCTCGGGAGTGACGCTACTCCCGATGAGACGCTACTCCCTTCGAACCTAGCTGTTGCGATACGATGAGGCGCAGCAGTGCGGACCTCGTCGGTCCACCAGGCATGACCAGCGCGAATGCAGTGTAGAGACAGATGAAGCCGCCGTGCCCGCCATGGGTTGAAAACGCACACACGTCCAGCACTGCGACTGAAACCCCGAAGAGCAGCCGGAGGGGCCATGCTACGCTCGGGTCTAAGATCACCAGCAGCGCTCCCGAAAGGAAGAGGACAAGGCGTGCAGCGTGCTGCAATCGCCCGGTGCAAACGACTCGAAGGGCCGGTATCGGCATCCACGATGGGCACCTGCGCACTTGTGCTGGCTCGTACTCGCCGTGGTAGTAGGAGAATGCAAGCAGCGTGAGCAGCGCGTATACGCTTCGGTCGCTCGCCGCGCACAGCACGACCACCAAGTAGGCGACCGCAAGCGCCGCCAGGAACACGGAGGGGCTGACGATCTTGTCGTCGTCGATCGACCACGGCAGGTTGCCGATGAAGAGCTCGACGCAGCCTTCCGGCTTCTCCTTCTGCGGCTTGTAGGTGCGCTGCGGCCTTGACTGCGCTGGGGGCGTAGGCCTCCGCTGCGTGTGTATGGCCACGGTCTTTGGCAGCGTCTGCGACGCGAATGGCACAGGCAGTTGGTAGTACTCGAGCTCGCGCTTCAGCTCGCTTGCAGCTGTCGGGGACACCGGCCCATCGAGAGAGCCGGTGCGCATGAAGTTGAGGATGATGCGAAAGTGCGTGCCGTCGCGGTCGATGAAGACGTATCCATCGTCGCTGCTGGCACATCGTGCCGTCCAGAAAACATGGCACCGAGCATGGACTCAGGGTATCTGGTGAGAGTGCTCAAGGTAGTCTCAAACTTGATTCCGCCAACGTTCAGCCTCACACGCTGCTTGAACTGGCCAAGATTACCCATCATGCTCTGCAGTTCTGTGAGCTCGCGCTGCACAGTTTCCTGCTGCAACCGTAAGCCATCCACAGTGCGCTGCAAGGCATCAAGGTTGAACGCAGCGTTCGCCATATGGCGGGCACACGACGAGAACGGGAGACCCCAAGACACGTATGGTTTATGCGTCGGTTAGAGGGCGGGGGGCAAGGGTGACGGGCAAGAAGCGAGGGAGCCAGCAGAGGCGAGGACGTACGCGGGCGGCAAGAAACGCATCTACAAAGTTAAAAAATCATTCTTCGGAACATACCCTTAGCCCCTTAGGTGAACATTTCAACGACGAAACGCGGCTGATGACATTCGACCTGCAACGGCGAGATGCCGCCAGATTCTCAAACTTTGGGCGCGTACGTACACACGAGCTCGTGGTGGGGTAGAGTGGAGCTGAACCCCGTTTTGGAGCTGAGCCCTCTGCTCCCATGGCGGTCCCCCAGTCGTGCTGGGTGTTGACGACCGACGCACCACCATTCATCATCACCGACGCCTCGCCCGAATGGCAGGCGCTTTGGGGCTACAGCAAGCAGGAGGCGGCTGGAAAGCCGCTGTCGGCCATCCTGCACAAGGTTGGATTTTCTGACATGGCTGCTGGCAAGGTCGTCGCCCGCAAGGCGGTCACCGGGGACGACTCGGCAACTCAGTGCACCAACGTCGCGCGCGGTGGTCACGTGTACTCGCACAAGCTCACACTGACGCGGGTGAATGGCCACCTCAAGGGGGTGTCCCGCAGCATTGAGCTCATCCCCGCGTCTCTGACGGACTACTACTCGGCGGAGCTCCATGCCTCGCTCAGTGAGGCGGGCGAGCGGCCGATGGAGTGCTCGGTCGACGAGGCGCTCCACCTGCAGCCCGATGCCTCCATGGCCGCCGACATCTCGCCCGAGCACAGTGACCTCCCGGAGTACTACGCGGAGTTTTCCAAGCGCTCCCTCTCCCAGGCGCTCGCGCGGAAGGCGATGTGCAGGGCTTCTGTCGACGAGGCTGGCCAGGACCCGTGCGATGCGGAGATTGACGCGTCGTACCACATCGGCTCTCTGTGCCACTTTTATGAGCAAGCAAAACTCCGCGCCGACTCACAGGCTGCGTTGCGCCGCGAGATGAGTGGCGCCTCCGTCGACGAGACTGAGCTGGGCCCGCACGCCGGCGACGCCAACGAGGTCGACTCGTCCTACCACCTCGGCTCTCTCTGCCACTGGATGGCGCACGAGAGCCAAAGGGCGGCTTCCCAGGCGGCGCTGCGGAGCTCGGTGAAAGTCTGCAAGGTCGACGACGACGCGGTGGAGCCTCCGTTTGGAGAGCTCGCCGGCAGCCCGCTCACGGCCTGATGCTGCCGGCGGCCCCTCGGCACGCGCTCTGGTGAAGTCGGTGTGGTGGAAGTGGACTCCGAGCGATCGCTCGGCCCTGACGCACCACATCGAGCAAACTTGGCGCGCCACGTACGCGGACAGGTCAGCGAAATTGCGGGAACCTGGCGTGTAGGAGATTGGACTGGTGATGTGATTGGGCACGCACAATGCGAATGGTATGTTCGATTGCGGTGCGGGTCGTCGGCTCGTGCGAGAGAGGAGAGTCGTTGTTGTCCGGTGGCAGCAGGCATCGGCCGACAGCAGAGGCCGTATTTATTAACGGAGTGGGCGGGCGCGCGGTGCGGCGCGGCGTGTGCGTGTGTGCGACTGCAACGAAGGACCGCTCGCAAGGGACCATTGGGTTTGTACTATTAACAGCAAAGGCGCTCTCACCACCGCTTGAAAGGGACCATTGCGCATTGGGCTTGTATAATTAAAAACGAAGTAGTAGGTAGGTAGAAAGGTGAAGAACAGCCAGGCTCGGACTGGACACCAACGCGGTATGGGTGGACGCTGGACAGATGATAACGAAGGCGCTCTCAAAAAAAGAATTGTGCGAACAGAATTCACGAATAGGTCTCGGGTTTGACGCACGGGGTCACTCCCGCGAAACCCGTGAACTAGCCGGGGCAGTCGGAGAAGTGGCAACTCCGTGCACTGACGGTCGGCCGTCAGAAAACACGCCTCCGTGGCTCGGGTTACACCAATCCTCGGCCACCTCGAGAACCTCGACAGAGAATTCACGACTCGCGCGCGGCCTTGCCGCGCTTGCCGCCGCGGGCGGCCCCTTGCCACAAGACCCGACTATAGAGGCAAGCATCATACGCGCCCATGCCAGCTGAAACCGTCAACAACGAGTACGTGTACGTCTACACTCTCGACTCCACCGCCGCCAGCCTCATCGCCATCAGCTTTGCGCTCTTCATCGTTCTGCCCATCGCTACGTGGGCCTGGTTCGTGAGCCCGCTCTGGCGGAGCGGCGGCACGAGCGGCTGGATCGCGCGCGGCGGCGGCGGGCGGATGCACAGCACGGCGAGGGGCGCGAAGCGCCGCACCCCGCCGCCCGCCCTCGTCTCCTTCCGCGACGTGCACTACTCGGTGACGCTGCCGGGCCGCGAGAGGCAGGAGCTGCACGTGCTCAAGGGCGTGAGCGGGGTGCTGCGGCCGGGGACGCTGACCGCCATCATGGGGCCGTCGGGCTGCGGCAAGTCGACCCTCCTCGACGTCCTCGCCGACACCAAGCGCGTCGGCGTCGTCGAGGGGGACGTGCGGCGAGACACTTCCGAGACACTTCCGAGACACTTCCGAGACACCTCCGAGACACCTCCGAGACACCTCCGAGACACCTCCGAGACACCTCCGAGACACCTCCGAGACACTTCCGAGTCGAGCGGACGGTGGAGGGTCGCCACACACGTCTGCCACCTCCCTGACACGTCCACGACACGTCCACGACGCGTCCACGACGGGTCCCCGACGGGTCCCCGACGGGTCCCTGGCCCTGACACGTCCGCGACTCGCCCCCGCTGTGCAGGTGCGGCTGAACGGCGCAGAGCGCGGGCCGGACTTTCGGTCGACGTGCGCGTACGTGATGCAGGAGGACTGCTGCCACTCGACGCTCACCGTCCGGGAGACGCTCTGGTTTGTCTGCGCGCTGCGGCTCGGTCCCGACATTGGCCGGCACGAGCGGCTCGAGCTGATTGACGCGACGATGGAGGACGCCAGCCTCGCGCGAAAGTGGCCAGCTAGTCAACGAGTTGACGACGAGCGTATGGAGTCTGACTAGGACGTTGACCTCGCTCACGTCGCCGACACGCGGATCGGCGACGACGTGTCTGGAGGCTTGTCGGGCGGACAGCGCCGCCGCGTCACGATCGCGATCGAGCTCCTCTCTGGCCCCGCGCCGCTAGAAGCGGACCAGAAGACGCACTCTCCTCCTCCAACCGGCGCTCCGAGAGTGCACGCACCCTGCTGCATTCCGCCGTACATTCGGCTGTACGCCACTGTACCTCGTCGCCCCTCGCACGCACGCGCTGCTCTGGACGAGACCGCCTCCTATTCACAGCTCTTCTATTCACAGCTCTTCTATTCACAGCTGCGCTGCACGAGACCGCCTTGTCCGCCCCGAGGCTGGCGTACGGCACGCACGCACGTAGGCCCCGCGCTGGTACTGCTCGACGAGCCAACCTCTGGGCTGGACGCGTACGGCGCGCAGCAGGTGGTGGCCTGCCTCGCACACAACGCCGCCAGCACACAACGCCAGCGACGTCTCTCGCCCTCTGCGCCGCCCCCGCTGCGTGGGGGGTCGATGGCACTGGCCGCCCCCACCTCCACTCTGAAGCGGGCGCGGGGCGGCACCGCACACGAGCGGCGGAGCGGCTTTGCGAGTGCCTTCGCACTGCTAGGTGGTCGCGGCGCTCCGCCGCTTCGCGGACCGCGGCCGCACCCTCGCCTGCACCATCCACCAGCCGCGCGCCGAGACGTTCCGGCTCTTCCACCAGCTGCTGCTGGTCAAGGCGGGCGAGACAATGTACTGCGGGCCGGTGGCGCAGGTGCCCCGCACTGTCTACCGCACCACCCACGGGACTGAACCCACGCTTGGAGGCGACGGCTCTGACGGGGACGGTGCCCGTGGACTCGCAGGTGCCCGACTTTCTTCGCGGCTGCGGCGTGCCGTGCCCGCCGTCGGTGAGCTCGCGCCGCCGTGGGCCGTCGAGACATTGCGTCGGGACACGTCTGCACGGCGTGTCCGAGACGCGTTGTCCCCCCGGCAGGTGAACCCCGCCGACGTGGTGGTCGACCTCACGCACACCAAGGAGGCGGACGCGGACGAGGACGGCGGCGAGGCGGTCGACTTGGTGGCGCGCTTCGCAGAGTCGGACCTCCGGCGCGAGATGCGACGCGTCCCATACCTCCGCCGTGCCGAACCCAGCGTGGGTTCAGTCCCGTGGGCCGTGCGGTAGGCGCGAGATCGAGGCGGAGATCGACTCGGTCGAGATCGGCCGCCATCCCGCGCTGGCGGACCTGGCGGCCCAGTCGCTCAAGGCGCCGCAGGAGGAGGAGGGGCGCGGCGGCTGCTGCGGCGGCGGCGGCGGCGGCGGCTACCCAAACCCGCTGCTGCACCAGGTCGGTGTGCTCGTGCGGAGGCAGTGGACGCTGGACCTGCGCGACTTTGGGTACAAGTTCACTTGGGTGGGCTTCAGTGCAGCCTCGTCCCTCGCGCCATTCCTGAAGGAGGCTGGCTCACGACGCGGCACCCCGCTCTCCTCTCAGGTCCTCAACGGCTTCGTGCTCGCCCTCAACGCCTCCACGTACCTCCTCGTCGCGCAGGCCCGCTCACCCAGCGTGCACTGGGCTTTGCGCTCTGAGATGCCGTGCCGGCGCCCGCCCGTGTCCCGGTGTGGAGCCGCGAGGTCTAGGAAGTGTCTAGGAAGTGTCTAGGAAGTGTCTAGGAAGTGTCCCGGTGTGGAGACGCGAGGGTCGCCTGGCCCTCGCCCCACCACACTCTCTCTGTGTGTGTGTGTGTGTGTGGAGAAGTGTCCCTCCCCTTCCCTCCCCTCGTCGCGCAGCCGCCGCTCGACGCGCAGCCCGCCTCCGTCTACCGCGACGACATGGGCTGCTCGGCGAACCTCGGTAGCGGCGACGGGGTGCAGGGGTGCGTCTGCCACTTGGACATGGCAGACAGCGCCGACGGCGGATACACCGTGGCCGACGACGTGGCGGAGTGCGGCCAGGCGCCGTGGCCCCTCGAATGCTTCAAACACACGCGCCTCTCTCACAGCCCACGGGGCACGACGAGGGCGCGGACTGGCGCAGATTAGCACGCACACCGGCACACCAGCCGGAGCACCGGTCCCTAGAGGCGGACACGCGGCTTTGGAAGCGGAGCGCGTGCTCTTGTCCGTCCAACTAGCGCTCGAGAGGAGGCGCACTCGGCTGTGTACCACTCCGCCGCCACGCGGCTGCCTTCCCCGCCCCCCCCGCCCTGAGGTGTGCGCGTGCACGGCGTTAGGCGCTGGTGGCGCGCACCAACGTTGACTTTGCGCACCGCGGCCTCCTCTTCCTCCCCTACCTCCAGAGGTGTCGAATCCGGTGTGCGGGCTCAGCGGCGTGGGTGGCGCGGTAGGCTTCCTCTTCCTCGTCGTCAACGCGCTCTTCATCAACGAGGCGGTCTTCGTCCCGACCATCATCGCGGACAAGCGCTTCTTCGCGCGCGAGCACGGAGCGAACGCCTGCTCTGCGATGCATCTCGCCACATCTCCCCGCATCTCCCCACACCTCCCCACATCTCCCCACACCTCCCCACATCTCCCCGCATCCCCCCACATCTCCCCACATCTCCCCGCATCCCCCCACACCTCCCCACATCTCGCCACATCTCGCATCTTTCCCCACACCCCCTCCACTTCTCCCCACATCTCGCCACATCTCGCATCTCTGCCCACACCTCCCCACATCTCCCCACACCTCCCCACACCTCCCCCCACCTCCCCCCATCTCGCCACGTCTCCCCTCGCAGGAGCGCGCGCCTACTCTGTCCTCGCCTGGCACGCCGCCTTGCTCGCCACGCGGCGGACCGGCGCAGCCCACTCTGAGCCACCACTCCTTCCTCCTCACTCAGGCACCTCGCCTGGCTGGTCAAGCTCGGGCTCACCGCGGCGCTCAAGGCGCTCTTCTACACGCCCTGCTTCTACTTCCTCGGCCAGCTCCGCCTCGACGCCACGGCCTACCTCGCCGCCGCCTTCGCCACCGGCGGGATGGGCTTCGCCGGCTCCGCGGTCGAGATCCCCCCGAGATTGCCCGAGATCGCCGGCTCCGCGGTCGAGATCCGCCGAGATTGCCCGAGATCTCCCCGAGATTGCCCGAGCTCTCCTCCGAGACCCGAGCCAGTTCACCGCGCCGGCTCGCCGGTCGGGAGGCTGGCCGCACCTCGCCATATCTCCCCATATCTCCCCATATCTCGCCGGTCGGGAGGCTGGCCGCACCTCGCCATATCTCCCCATATCTCCCCATATCTCGCCGGTCGGGAGGCTGGCCGCACCTCGCCATATCTCCCCATATCTCCCCATATCTCGCCGGTCGGGAGGCTGGCCGCACCTCGCCATATCTCGCCATATCTCCCCATATCTCGCCGGTCGGGAGGCTGGCCGCACCTCGCCATATCTCCCCATATCTCCCCATATCTCGCCGGTCGGGAGGCTGGCCGCACCTCGCCATATCTCCCCATATCTCCCCATATCTCGCCGGTCGGGAGGCTGGCCGCACCTGGTCCTTCCTCCCCCCTACCCCCTTGCCCCCCCCCCCTCCTCCGGCTCCCTACCATCCTCCCCCCTTGCACACCCGTGCCTACATAGGTCGCCATGCTCATCACCACGCTCATGCCCGGGCTCGGCGCCGCCACCACCGCCTTCGGCTGCGCGGTGCTCCTCTACCAGAACGTGTGCGGCTTCTTCCTCCCGATCGCCGCCATCCCGCCCTACCTGCTGTGGCTCGCCTGGTCGTCCGTCTTCACGTACGGCTACTACGCAATCATCAACTCGCAGCAGCTCGGCACCGTCATGACGGGCGCCGGCGAGAACGTCGAGGACCGGCTCGTCTTCGCCTTCTGCTTCGTCCTCTACGCGTGGTGCCTCTCCCCCTCACCACCTCTCCCCACCCCTCCCCCCACCCCTCCCCACCCCTCTTTATGGGGCACCACAACTCCACACCCCTCCCCACCT